GTTTTTAGGGTTCTTCTTCAGCCGAAAGAAAACAGTGATGTATATTTTTGTTTCACTTCGCTCTAAAGTCTGTCATTAAAGCGCATTGAAGCGGGGCTAAAATAGTATTTTAGCTACCTCGTATATATTAGATCATTTTAGCTCCTTAACTTAAACTTTAACTAACTAATTTCGTAGACATCTTTATATTTTATTTTGATAAATCTACATTGAATAAATAATATAGGTAAAATAAAATATTAAGCTATAAACGCGTATGAAAAGTTCAATTTAACCATTAACCGTCGATATCAATCACAACACTATTTCTAATGGATTCCCGCCTCGGTTACTCCAATAACATCGGTAATTGACACGACTTCGTTTGCAGATAACAACAATAATATTTATCTCTCTCCAATGGTACGTTACTATGTATTTTGGACCCTCCATCAATTTGTCTTTAAGTGCAAATTAATTTGTAAACATAAACGTTAATCACTTTATAATGAAAGCAATAAATTTTGCTTCGTAGTTTAGTTTCACAGTTTGGAAATTTGCTGTTAAACTTTCGTGCACATACAGAAAATCTGTTTTATATCCCAAATCGATACATATCGGTAATTTAACCACGAACTATGCATAAGTATCATTGAATTTTATAATTGATGATATTTTTCACACTTTACTGAATTTAGAAGAAGTAACTTATCGTTAATATGAAGTAGTTACTTTTTGGTATTTATTTTCGAATATTGCTTCATCAAATATTTACTTTTTGATTAAACATGTCTAAAAGGACATATCGTAGTGATACAATAAAATTCGAGGTTTGGGTCAGATCTTTTTAAGCAAGAGTTACTTACCAATAGTAATTCAAGTTAAGAAATCCTCAGTAATATATAAGTAGAATAACATAGTAGATAAGATACACTGGCTTCTAATTAAAGATATGCGAATGCCACAACAGCACTTCATCAAAGAACTTTACTCGAGAGACTTGAGAGTCACACCCGTAGTTGAACAGAGATTGGAAGCTGCCAGTGATGCCACGCAGCTGAGTACATATAACATTTAAACTATGAATGGTCTTCAAGGACTCGGTAACTTTGATCAAGTGCTTGACTGTACTTACCATCACAATACTGTTGAAACTCTCGTCTTCAACTTGAGAACAGTTTATGACGTAAATCAAATACTGCAAAGGACTTATTTCGCTTATTTTAAAAGCTTTTACTTTTATTATTATTGTCCTTTAAATTGGTACGTGAACCATTCTAATCGATTCAAGGTGTAGCCATGTCTGAAGTCCCGCATTTGTTTTTGCGTTCACAATGCGATTTTGGAAAGTTTTCATCAAAATATTAACTTTTTTATTTTGATTCGGGATTATTTGTTGTTACAGATTTTTATCACACAAGTGCTTTAACTAAGTTAATATCGATACAGTGTTTTGTCTAAAATGAGATATTTTCCTATTTATTCTTATAGTGTCTGTAGTTTCGCTATTTCCTGATCTGTGTTTATTTCTTGTTAATCTATATTTTGCTTAGAGTATTATTGTACATCTTACTAAGACAAATTGTTATTCTACATAGACAACTCCCAAAGAGTCTGACATTACGCTTCTCCAAAAACATAGTTTAGAGGATTGATATTCTGGTGATTGTAATTTGATATAGCTAACACTATAAATAAAATAAACGGATTAGACTCGCGGAAATACAATTAAAGCTTTACCTTTGATAGCAATGCGACATTTATAGATGTTAAATGTAATTTGAGATGAAACCTGTGATGTGTTACTCGACTATTAAACTTGGAGCTGCAAAGCAATCACTGCAAGTAGCCCCACTTGGTATAACTTTGATTACATTTCAAATTGCGCACAGTATTGCAGAAATTATAACGGAAAGTTATTATAACTCGGTCTACGACTTTCCGGAAACGTGTTGGCGATGATAACAAGCTCTTTTTAAACGGTTTTTATTGAGATTGACTTGGTGGTTCTAAACTAATGCCTACTGAAGTTCTACCCTGCTATTGTTGATCGTTTGACTTGAAATTAGGTATGTATTCAGTATTATAAATCCGAATTAATTTAATAGTACATGAAAAGCTTTATTTATAACAAATCTTTCCTTATGGCCTATATTCAATTACGTAAGTGTGCATCCTCAAAATTTTTACTATTTGCTTCTAAGTTTCTTGGTATATATCTCTAAAATTTGATATATCGTGGATAGTGTTATGGTCTGTTATGCTCTAATTAAGTTTTTTTAAAGACACGTTTTTAAAGTATGATTAATATTCGTTGTTGAACTTTACGGTCATGGTAAAGTTCAACAACAAATATTGAGAACTTATTTCAATAGTACAACTCTAAATTCGAATTTTGACACATATATTAGAAAAAAAACTTGAGAAAATCAATTGTCTTGGGATCAGGCTCTTTAAACGACCCACTTTTCGCTAATTGGAATTGCTCTTCTAACTCAGGTATTGATCTTAAGATACATTCAAATTTCTCAAGTGCTATTTTCCCCAATACTACATTATTATAGAAAAAAAATGGCATAAAGTTCTCAGAATATTTACAAAAAGTCCTATTTCTACAAGACAAATAGGTTTTTCATCTATTCAAAATTCGCTTACGAACTTTGTTTCCTATCTCGCATTTCATACACAATAAATTGTAAGTCTTTTCTATCCCATGGGTCGTTTTATAGTAACTTTATAGGAGGGTTAGAATCACGCACCGTTCTATGTATTAAAGGGACGCGGTCATGAGATACTTATCTCGAAACACCAAATACTATGATGTTTATTACATTGTGAATGTGTATATTTCAATACCGGGTCAGGTCATTTACTTTAACAGCTTTGTTCAGTGAATTCTCTAGATAGAACCAAAATGCTCTCTTCGTAATACGATATGACAATATTGGACCAACGCCAAGCTTACTACCGTGAATTTACTCTTGAAATCCTCATTCGATATATCATAAATGCTGCTATTACATATCATATATATTACTCTATCTTATTGAACTCCGTTACCGACATATTTGGAGTTAGTACAATTCCAATTTCAATTAAAAGATGGATTGGCATTGTCCTGTTAGTAGAAATTTCAATAATATTATCAAAAAAACTAGAATTTTCGATATTTTTTTTAATGGAAAAATAGCATTATAAATGCAAAATAGATAACATGTTAAAATTTTATTCTTCTTAACACTGAGTGGGGACTTAATGATAAAACCTATGCTATAAAGCATGGTTTCTTATTTGAAGAAGGAGAGCCGAACTGATAGCATGAATCTCAATATTTTGTTTCCATCGTTTTTAGACATCAACGAACTAATTGATGTATATATAGATAGATTGAAATACTCGAGTAAACACTTCAGTCTAAATTCATCATAATTATTAACATATTAATGTTTTCAGTCTAAAATCAGCCTGTAATTGAATATTTAAAAAATATAACTAAATACTCTAACAAGAAAAAAGGTGTAATTAAATGTTCTTAGATTATTAATGTATCTTACAAATGGCCGAGCGTGTTGCCTCTTGATGGATTATACTAGTTCTTATAAATTATTTGTATTTATAACTGTAAAAACTATTTGGTGCGGTTTTAATATAGTTAAATAATTTTCTATTTAATGTAGTAATGTCCATTTTCGGATAGCTTGATCACATATTGCTATAATGAGGATTTCTAGATCTGTTTCGAAACCAGTATAATCATGTCGTATTAATCACTTTTATAAAAGACTAGTACCTACAGTGTTACATAAATTCATAAGATTACTTGGACTTATTCAGCGTCCTTTTAGGCTGTATTTCAAAAGTAATACCAGATGACTGGTGATCCTCGCTTAGGTGAAGTTGTCTTTCAAAATCTGCGAAATTGAGTAGGCAGGTAAAAATTCTAAAATAAGTTTTCCTTATGCAAATCCGTTGTTTTTAAGGTAATTTATGCATTTTTATTAAAACTTTGAAAGTCAGAGGTATCTGAGTTATTCTAAAGACGCTTTTGTTATGTCAAATAATCAGATTTATTTTGCTCCGGTCTCGTGGTACTTATGTACTATTTTATATATTCTGTTTACTCCGAGAGCTCTTAAATTCAACGCAGAAGTTTATGTCAAGGTTAGATACTGAATACTCAATTATTATCTACTATTCTCTCGTGGTTTCAAAAGGAATCCATTAAATAAAAGTTGCTTGAAGTAGACCGAGGAGTTTAGAAACAAAGGCGATTTTAAATAACTTCAATTCCTAGGAACTGAGGCTCGTTTTAAGCTTCTAAATAAATTCTGCTATTAAATGTATAAAATAAAAAATAGTTGAATCCTGTCAAGCTGCACACACGTGCAGTGGAATTGAAGCCATTGTTTGTAAATAAGTGATGTAAGTAAATGTCAGCCAGTAAACACATGAGACAAATTCTCTTTGTTTTATATTAATAGCGAACATATTCATAGCTTTAATTAATTTAGATTTATTAGTGTTTAGTTTTGATCAGACATATGTCTTCACCAATATTGCCATTTATTTTATATAGTGAGTCGAAAAAAAGTCAAGGTTTCCCAGATTGCTTGTAAAATATTACTAAGATACTAAGATTATGGTATGACTGAGTTTAACAAAAAAGGATTAATTATTTTAATGTTCTTTTCAATTGTCAAAAATAAGAAGTTCTCAAGTCAACAAGTCAAATATTTTCGTATGACCACATCGAGCTTTTTGATACTTAGTCTATATTCATTTTCTTATGTTCTATTATAATACAGTTAACAAGAGATTTCGATGTAAGATTGATTTTCTAGTATCTCTCTGCAAATTTATATGAGAGATATCGATCAAATAATATCAATGTAAAATAATCATATTCCTTTTTTGTTAGATAAAATAATAGTTTTAATTATAAAGAACAGATCACCCCTGAGTGTAGTTTAACTCATTGTTGTTGTTTAAATATACAAAATAACATTCTGTGTATTTAATAGGCAAGCAGCGGTTGTTGTGAGCAGCATGCCGCGCGCCGCAGTCCTGCTGGCGCTTGCGGCCGTGCTCCTCGCAGCTGAGTGGGCGCATGCGTCCTATATAGACCCTGGTATGGTATAACCACGAGGCTTAAGGTTGTAACAGACGGCTTCTCTCCATCACTTTTTATGCTATGGGCGAAGACTGTGTGAGCAGTAAAATGTTGATTCCCTTGCTTGATATCCTTACGCCTATAATTACACATTTTTTAATGTTTCTATTTCCTCCTCTATTTTTCCAGATGCATGGAACGATATCATACAGATATGATATCTGTATGATAAGTACAGATATTAAATATATATCTAAGACTATTAATCATTCTGGTTTCCGTCCTACATCTATTCTTCCCTCACTTTCCAAAATCTTTGAACACACCTTATCCAACAAAGCGGTGTGCAGTCCACGTATTATTTTCTATTTTTACTAATTATATTACCCAATAACTCTCTTATTCCTATCACTTGTATGCAGATGATCTTCAGATTTACTCACAAGAGTGCTTCGAACGACTTGATGATGCAATTATTAAGACATGGGGCGAATCTTCAAGTGAATTAATTCTTTTGATCTCAAAGTTAATCATAATAAAACGCAGGGTATAATTATATTCAGTTCCTTATATATTTCTAGGATGCAAAATTACACTTGCGCATCCACTCCTTTTGCCCCTTCTTGACTATGCAGATGTATGTTACCCTGATCTTACACTTGATCTCCCCAAAAGTTTGAATTTCTTCAAAAATTTTCGATATAGTTCATATTTGGCTTGCGCATATATACCATGTCTCTGAATTCTCCAAGCAACTTCAGTGGCTCCCCATTCGCCGTCGTAGGGATATGCATATGCTTTCGCTTCTCTACTCTATACAGTTCAATCTCACGATATCCCCATATATCAAATTACGCTTTAAATTTTTCTCATCTACGCATGATCTCTCTGTTCGTTCTTTTATTAACTATCGATTGTTCAGTCCTCCGAATTTTCCTATATTCTATTATCAATCTTTTACAGTATATGCAATAAAATTGTGGAACTCTTTACCTGAATCTATTAGACGAGCGAAATCTTTAAACTCTTTTTACCTTTTTTAGTGATACTTCGTTGTCACAACTGTTGTTCTTCTGTTATGTTTTGTATAATTTAAATTATTGATTGATTTAGACGATCATTGGAACTTAAAATTACTACAAATATTGATCTCTAAGAAATCAGAGAATTTTGCGTTAGAAAAGAATAGAATGCAAGAGCAATATCATTCCTGCTAAAAGATCCTCACTGAAGTTTTGTATTGGAATTAAACTTTATACTTGTTTTGGTGATGTACTCACACATATGTTAGCTGTCAGTACCTTAAACAGGGTTACAAAAATACGAAAAAATTAGAACTTATAACGCCACTCAACTTCTTTAGAATTTAAAGTTAGCAAGTTTTGCATCCCAAAACTGTACCATTAATATTGATATAAAATATAATAAAGATACAACATATAGCTATGATAACGAAAATATATTTTCTACAGGCGATGAGGATATGGAGATCAATCTAGCTGATTACGGGGACGATCCAGCGGACTTGCAGATGCTGCAAGACGTTGGCAAGTGAGTGTATTTGTATCTATCATAACCTAGTTTTACTACATCGAGTAGCTGATAAGTTGGACATGTACCAGCTACGTGCAACTTTTCTGATTGTGGTTCGCTCAGCTGCAATTTCGTATTCGTGCTGTGTTGAACTCTTTTCTCTTTATGTTAGGTTATTTAATACTGTTTGTCTATTTATTCGTAGATTTTGTAATATCTATATTTGTTTATTGATTTTATTGCTAATGATACCCACTTTGATAACTTTATATCTGTATGTTATGAGATTATAAAGGGTATATTACCTCATAGGACTATAAAGCTTATATCATAAATGATAACGCTTTATCTATTAATAATAATTTCGCTTTCATACAAAAATAAATATTAATTTAATTTTTCACTCGAATATTATATAACTTCACGTAAACCTAGTATCACAGATACACAAAAAATAGCGCGTAAAATGCTGGAGAGTTAATTTTTATTCAAATTCTTGTTAGCTTTCTAGTGCCGCTAGGTGTTTTACATAACCCTGTATTTCATTGAGTATTGTCTTGTAATAAACCGTGCAAAACATTTGCGATTAAATACGATCTAAATTTTTATTATAATAGACCTTTAAATGTGAGAAGTTTACCCACCTTTAAATGGCTGTACAAAATAATAAAATTAATCTTAGCATTTTATACAAAAATGTATCTTTTGTTTCACTTGGTTTTATAACAGAGGCTGGAACTGTAGCAGGCCAATGAAAATTTCCGTTTTTAATGAGGGTTTCTTTTGTAACAAAGTCTTTTGTCATGGATTTGTAATAATTTCTTTTAACGCCATAAGCTAGCTTTAATTGGAATTGATTTGGCAATCTACGTGATCACTTGGCTCACCGTGGTACTTCAACAAAGTACGCAGAATTTTAGACAAATGTGTAGCTTGGATCTGTGAGGTTATTACTTTTAATATTTTTATGTTTTCATAACAATATCTACCTGCCTACTTAACTTGGGATCATTTTTGTAATATGATATTATTTTGTATCTTAATGAAAAATATAAGATTAGTTCCTTTTATTAGATGACATAGCATGACGTCACGCACTTCTTATCTTAGAGCACGGACACAAACTTAGGTTAGCAATCGGTGATATGGTTTCAGACGTTCGTCGCTGATCTACGTTTTCAGGCGCGCCTGTATCCGTCGGGGGGGCAACTGCGATCATCGCCCAGGCGACTGCTGCCACTCGTCATCCTGCCGCTGCAATCTTTGGGGCTCCAACTGTCGCTGCCAGAGGATGGGCCTCTTCCAAAAGTGGGGATAGGCAGCCCCAAAACCGACGGTGCCTTTGAAGCGGCGACCATCTCCCGCCAGCCGACTTGACCGCCGCTCCATTGGCCCGCGCGACAACTATTGCGTTCATACACCGGACCCGTTGCGTTTCAAAATCACCTATTCTCATTTCCAACACCCTATTTCGGTCTGTTTCACCCTCTTTTTTGTTTTTAACGTCCAATTTTGAGCTATCGCTTAGAGAGATTCAAAAATCGAAAACAGGGACCTAGATTTTAGTTTGGGGAAATATTTTTGGACCTTATTGAATTTACAAAAATTTTAGGGATGCTATTCATTTCGTATTTTAGACTTTCGCATCGCATATTATTTTCGCATTCTTAATAGATTTATCTGATCGTGCCGAGCGTCCGCTTACGGGGTTGGGCAATCACCCAGCCTTATTGCCCAATCCGTACGCCCTGACGATATGCTCGGCCGATCGGATCCGGCCAACTGCCCCTGGCGACCAGTTCTTGGTGAACAATTTTAATTTAGAATTCTTCTTTTACTGCCAACGAACCTCTCGCCATGGTGGCAGTTGAATTCAGCAATGTATGTATGTAGAGATAAGTAAGCTAATGTAGAACAAGCAGTAGTAGCTAAATTGATGGTAAACTTATGTCAATAGTTAGTAGCGAATACAAAAATAGTAAAAAAATAAATATATGAATGTAACTTTTAAAATAAATGTTCTAGCTATTTAAGAGACTAACGGTAAAAAACTTGGTGAAAGACGCTGTAATAAGCCTTTATATTAAATAAACAACGCCACTTGTATTTGCGATTGGCAAATTAGTTTATAAAATACATATTAACATGTCATAATAATTAAATAAAACGAATCTTTAATGTACTCTGTGTGACTCTCGGACAGGAGGTATGATAATGCAGCCTAGTAGAATCTTCTATGATTATGTAGCTTCTTATAAAGTACGTTCCTGATTATGGAATATGATAATTGTAATATTACTGATATTGGAATATGGAAAACTATAAATTATATAAATAAATGTTTATGGATGAAACATTGTTTAATTTTTCTCTACAAGATTCTATTTAATTAGTTGCAAATATTTTAAGATCTACCTTTCATTAAAACGTTGAAGTTTAATAAAAAATAATTAAAAGTGGTCATCTCTCTTTACTTCATTAACCAAAGGTAATAATAATATGCGGAGGTAAGTCTGTCTAAAAATAATGTTTTCAGACTCATGAACAGGAAATTTGAGAAAGACACAATTTTTTCATCAAAATCATAATAAGACTTATAATTATTTATTTAAATGGACTCCATGAGCCGAATATTATTAGCGATTATCTAATTAGGGGCCGTCCATTAATTACGTGGGGCTCAAAAGGGGTAGTGTATCACGAGTATATATTTTTTCAAACGTGTGATTACTAAACCTAAAAGTGACGTCATAATTTTTTTATAGATAATAAAACTATACCTGATTTAGGTGGATTTAGAGGGGGGAAGGGGGTTAGTCTTAAACCTCACCAGTATTACCAAGGGAGGAGGAGTTACAAAATGTTGAAATAACATCTAATATCTATAGCTAATTTGTTAGCACTACACCACAAACCGCAGCGATTGTGTGACAGCAGTGACATTAGTCGGTGTATCAATTACTGGAATATATGAAATGAAAATATCTTGATTCAAGTAAGCTTGTTACAAGCACTTTTGTTTGAATCGTCCAAAATTTTTTTTTTCTTATCCCCTTCCACTTGTTCAGGACGCCTTTTAGCTGACAAAAAGAACAAGCGAAAGAAACTTACCAGCTCTTTATTATAAGTAATGACATTTACAAAATCATGTCTTTACCAAAATAATATGTATTATCACAATAATAAACACAACTTTCAAAGTCTTGTACGTCATAGTTTGTACATATAATTAGTCATTACAGAACAAAGCGAAGGCTATTAATTCCATGCATTGCGGTCCTTAAAGTAATCATCAAGTTTATAATAGCCTTTACTCATAAGTACGTTCTTTACATGAATTTTGAACTTGTTTATGGGTAAGTAATCACATAGAGAATAGAGAATCACAGTGAGAATCGGTCATCACCTATCACGAGGTCTTAATGCAGCTTGGTGGCTGTTCACTACTAGAGCAAGAGTCCGTTACGACAAAACTTCTTTCTTTTGTTAAACCTGAAAGTTTCTTTGCGCATGGAAGAACAATATTGCAGGTTCAGCCAAGACCAACGGCTTATTGTGTTCCAAATCATGATGTCAACGAACCTTTGTGACATTTGTTTAACGACCACAATTCAGACCGAACGCTCTAACTACTACGTTATCAAGCTCTTCGTCATTATTTCTTCTAAATGTGTGTTGGGATCATCGTCATCTAATTATTAATATTCACATGACTGATGTACAGGCTTTTGTCGTAAAGAAAAACAGTGATATTGGCTGACGATAATGACTGACAGATGCATCCAGGACAAACGACTTTATATGTCTTCAACAGTAGTTCGAAATAAAAAATATTTGGTCACCCATCTTATAACTGGCCTCTGAGAAAGTTGCTTAACATCCTTAATCGCGAACCGAACTCTACTGAATAAACTCTGTGGGTGTTAATTTCTGTGGTGTTGAATATACTAAAATGTTCTATGATTCAACTTATGTTGATCCAGCCATAAATAAACGTGTAACATAACGCAATGTGTGTGTATCCAGGTGAAAAGAATAAATTGCTTATCCTCACATTATATTGTAACATTAAGAAATGTTACAATTTAATGTTAAGGATAAGCAATTTTATCTCAAGGTAAGATTCTAGGGGCACGGAAGTGCTCCTGCCAAGCCGAGCAAAAAGTAAAAAGGGCACGACCGAACTATCCTTTTCTAGAAGCCATTAGGGGCAATTGTAACCCCCTGTAACTTCGTTGTGGAGTAAACTGGTAGGCTAATAGTACTTTTCTGAATATCTTGGATCTGAACTATTACAGTAATTTGGTTTTAGTTTCCTTATTGAATAATTTAAGAAGGATTAGATTGGAATATTGTAAATTGAATTATATTTACTATATATTACTAAATGAACTCGGTAATTGTCCTCTTTTCGAGGAAGGCTATAGGATATATAACATCACGCTATGACTCATAGGAGTGGAGTGGCAATGAAAAATTTTACAAAAACGGGAGAATATTTTACTTTTTTAAAGCTTTTCATGCGTGCGCTGCGTAATCGGTGAAAGTTACGGAAAAACATGTATTATGAAAAGATGCTTGTGTTGCAGATTTAAATTTTATTAAATCTATTATTCGTCTTTTTTCTAAATGTTTTTGAAGTCAGTTCTATTTTTTAATGTTTTTTCATAAAGGATAAGAGCTTTGAAGAAAAACTGAATGATCAGGTAAAACTCGCCTGGAAATGCTTTGTTAACGTTGTTCAAATTTTTCTAGGAAAACCATAAATCGGAAAATACAAAGAATTAATAAATTAACTTATAATGTCATATAATGTTTTAGGGTGTAATATGTCCTTAAAAATATATATGTTGGACTCTCATCTGGATTGCTTCCTGGCAAATTTAGGTGCTGTGAATGACGAACAAGGCGAGAGGTTCCATCGGGACATTTCTTTAATGGAGAAGCGCTTTCAAGGGAAATGGAGCGCAGGAATGCTAGCAGATTATTGTTGGAGACTTAAAAAATACCTTCCAGAAGCCAAATATTCACGGAGATAATTTTTTTTTTTCTATATCCAGCAATAATTTCTCTAAATGTAGCTGAGTTTTGTACTTTTTAAGAAAATATATGTTTCAATATCACAAGGAAACCTGACGTCTCAATTTTTTTTCATTCACATGTAGATTTAGTGGCCCTAATACATTCAAAATTTGATATAAGTTTTCATGTGACAAAAATGTGAAAATTTTGTTAACCAGTGCTTTTAGAATTTCAAAACCATAGATTTTTTATATGAATTAAAAACTTAATACAAAATCTACAAAGATACTCTTTGTTACATTTACATAAAGTATAATCTATGCACAAAAAGGATATTATTCTTAATATTCGTTTTTTTTTTTTTTGCTGATATAAACATGAAATCAACATATTTAGGTGATATCTAAGGAAAGGTATGTTATAAAAAGAAAACTATAGATTCAATTTCTATAAAATTTAAAAGTGGTCCCATTTTATGACCTCAGCTATTAAGCTGTCGAATAATGTCGAGTAATCGCGTAACAAACATACAAAAAAAATACAGTCGATAAGAGAACCTTCTCCTTTTTGAAGTCGTTTAAAAAGAGTATCTATGATACGAGAATAAATCCAAAAGAATACCTATATTACGAAAAAGAATACCCGTATTTTCAGAAGAAATAGAAAAATTTACCCTATCTCAGGGTCGACCTGTGTATAGCTTCTAGATAGTCATTATAGCCATATTTCATTATAAATCAATCTGAAACACACTAATGACACTGTAAGGGTGATCGATACAATGAATAAAAGCAGCATTGGTTTGGACGTTAAAAAGTGTTCTGAATAACTTTTTGGAACACTCATCAATCATTCTTCTGACCCTTCCCTGATAATTACCTTTTGTGTCTTTGCAACGGCAAGTCCGCTTATTAACTAAAGCTTTTGTGATTTTTATTTAACAGAATCTCAATGTTCATTCATGGCTTTACTTAATTTAAAATATACAATCTTTTTAACGGAACAATCTATTTTTTATTGATTTTCACCGTCAATAGATTACATTAAGTTTTCATATTAATTCTTTATTATTAATAGACTACAAAAAATAATTATGACCTAAATTTGACCCGTAATACGTATATTGCAATATTTTTCAAATGTTCTTCTGTACAATAAAACAAATATAATTAATCATAAGTCACACATAAACTGCTACATAACTTTCCATTATAAAAGTTTCTTCGGAAGAAATCTATACACAAACTCGTAACAGAATAAAATGCCCATTGTAACACAAAACAATAAAATAGTTTGCTTTTATTTGGCTGAATATAAATCTTCATAGGATTTATGCTCAACCTTTTTGCTAGTTCTTAAACTATACCTTTTCTTAGATATTCTTTTAGATGTTTTTTAGCTTCTCGCCAGCGGCTCGTATGGACCCGTAATCTACACTAATATTATAAAGAGGAAAGATTTAATTGTATTTTTAGTAACATCAAATAGGCTCCGAAGCTGCTGGACCGATTTTAAAAATTCTTTCAACTACGAGTAGCTAAATCATACGGTGTTAACATAAGCTATAATTAACGAGTACTAAGTCGCGAGAAACCGTTAGTAAACATATAAAACTTCGTCTTAAATCATTGCGTATTGATGAAAACTGCATTAAAATTCGTTGTGTAGTTTCAAAGATCCCAGCGTGCATAGAGATGGAAGTCACTTCTTTTTATACTGATTAACGTGCTTTCATGGAATAACTCTAGCTACTCATTCTATAACTGACTTATGCAGATCGATTGCGTAAGCACTATGCCATTAAGACTCCATAAAAATAACATCAGTAATAATTATGTTTCATAGCTGTGATAAATCTATTGATGCCCGCAAATATTAATTGATGGTGCAGTAGTGATCTCGTTTGGTCTGCAATTTCGCAATGTCCAAAAATAAATTAACTATGCCTATCAACTACACTGAAAAATAATTCATTCAGGGGTCTTTGTGCGCGTTTCTGCAATAAAGTTCAAATCTATTATTAAAACAATAATTACTAAAAAAGATTATTAAAATTATATAACAGATAAGCATGCTTGGATTTAAGATAGTTCAGCAACTGGATAGGTCATTTCTTCTCAACTCGTTATATCTCAAAACTATCTTGTTGCCGTTATTAAATTATTATGTTTTCATTCTCTAAATATAATGTATGGATCTGGCAATAACATGGTTTTGTGAATATCGTTACTTTGTAGAGCTAGTGAGTTTCTTGCTCGATCTTCTTATCAGCCAAAAGTCGTCCTGTCAGTGGAAGGGAAGAAAATTTTGGAAGATTCAAAAGTACTTTTAAGA